CTCAGTACTCACTTACGCCATGACACTCAGTACTCACCTCCACCAATATACTCAGTACTCACCTTCACCCACACACTCAGTACTCACCTCCATCCACACACTCAATACTCACCTCCATCCACACCAGCAAACTCAGTACTCACCTCCATCCACACACTCAATACTCACCTCCACCAACATTCTCAGTAGCCCATGACATTTGCTAGCCATTGATGTCATTCTGATCGCTGTATTCGGTCTGTGAAGGAAATTACAGGAGGGAGTTGATTTCAGGGAATTTTTTTACAAGTCCAGTGTAGAGAGGGAGGTTTGGGGGCGGTTAACGGCTATAGACTACACTCCCATCACGTGTCCACCTCGTGAGAGACGGGGTAGCGTCGTGAGGCAAGTTGTGCCATTTGCCAAGGCGCTTGGGCCTCAGGAATGCTAAACAGTGATTGGTCAAGGTGCTGAGGGGTACCACATGGTATCCCGGAGCCGTTTTGGCGCCAAGACTTATTCCTACGATGAATGTTGCCATAGTAGGACGTACTTTCCTGTGCTAGGCCAAGCACCATGAAATACCGCCTGCAACGTTACTGAAGTCACGGTTATCGTCGTGCTATCTTTCCGGGTGCCGTTTGTAAGAATCTGGTAGTTTGGAAAGGTGTTTCCAGCGATTTATGTGTGAACTTTGTCATCTAAGCCCCGTGATTGTGGGACGCCATCTCAGAGCAACTGGACTGAGTGAGGCTGTTAATATCGGCTTCAGTAATAGACATCCGCCGTCTATCGTATCTTAGCTTGAAGGTACTGCAGTGAGACGATCTAGAGAAGGTTTCAGTGTTATGAGAGAAACCTTAAATTCGTAATTCCGAGGAATTAGCAGTGAACAGTGAAGGAATCTGTCTCGTGTACCGTCGTGCCATGTAACACCGTGTACCGTCGTATCCTAGGGTACCGTGTCAAGTGGATGGGCGTGGTACCGCATCCCAGCTGTGTAATCTGTTGTACGCGCACCCCTGGGCTACCCTAAGCCGGCGTGTTCGCGCCACCTGGTCTCTGTGTGTAGAGCTAACCCCTTGGTCTAGGACCCCATGCTCCAACCGACCACGTGTAGGAAGTGAGGACGCCTACGTCACCATCCAGCAGCAGCAGTGGGAGTGAGGTTGACGTGTATGTATGTGAGTGTGTGTGCGGCGGGCCCGCGAGATTGATGTAAGTACACTATTTCCATTTTGGGTAATAAAGCTCTGAAGCTTGTTTTGCACCCAGTGTTCCGTCTGTCCTCTATCCCAGTCGAGCACCTTGTGAGGTGAATGGGAATTGGAGACGTGTGAGTTTACCCTGTTTGCCGTCACCAAGTTGAGGTTGAGCCCAACTGTGAGGTTGACGTGTGTGGGGACACCTAGAGACACATTCAGTGGTGGAGTAAAGTGATCTTTATTTGTTTCCATTTCCTCTATGTGCCGTGTATGTAATTTGCTGTAATTTGATTCCCTTTTTCAGCAGTGAAAGTGGTAACAGGGAGGTTTCCCTTGGTTATGAATAATTTCCATTATTATTATATTGGCCAGCGCTTATTTTACTGTTGTGTTGTGGTAAAGTTTGGATTATTGGTTGATAATTTACTGGAGAAGTCATTTACAAATTTTGCCGTGAGTGGCAAGGATGTACTGTGATGTACTGTGTTGTACCGGGTGTAGACAAGTTGTATCCTTGGTGGAATGCGTTGTGTACTGTGAAGGAGTCCGTGAGAATTAAAGTCATTTAACGTCACCGTTGGTTGTTGAACATCATGTGATTAACGTAGAGACGTGTAAAGGCAACCGTCACAGTGAAGTTCACGCAGTGGAGGAACTGTCAAGTGAAGATTCACGTAGTGTTAACGTTTTAACGAGCTGTCGTTAATTGATTGATTAACGTAAGGGGTTGACCGGTCTGTTATGATCGAAGTCAATTGCGCTGTAATTAAGCTGCTGTAATTCGTTGGACTGATCAGATCTGTCTGCGGACAGGGATTAAGCACTCGTAGTTAATTAAAGAGAATTAGTTAATTAGTTAGAATTAGTAAAGAGAATTAGAATTGTTTAAATTCAATTAGAGTAACTTTTGTGGTTGTTTGTCCTGAGAGACAAGTGTTAACGTAAGATTTTTATAAGGGGTTATCATTCTTGGATTAACCGCCTTGTTACTTGGTACCTCGTTGTGGGCAGCGAGCGCCAGTCAAGTTTTGTGATTATAGTATTTGTTCACTGTGAAGCCGTGACAATATTGATTGCAAGCTTGCGTCACCAGTGGGCACCACTTTGTTCAGTTAGTGTTATTATCCAGTGAGAGACGCCGGGATAAGGATACCTTGGGTCCATCAGGCTGTTGAATAGCTGTTCTTGAATGCATCACTGGAGTGACAGTAAAGTAACGTAAATTCTTTGTAGTAGTTTTAGTTTTTTTGTGAATAAACTGTTATATTATAGAAAACGGTCGTTTATGTCAAACCTTCCAATATTACTGCCCCACATTACATGTTCTGCAACGCTTTGCCTGCTTATGTTCATATCAAGTCTGTATCTAAAGCTCGAGTCCATTGCACAGCACCACACTTCTATAAATAAGAAGTGAGAATCCGTCGGTTACCCTTTATTAGTTGTCAAACTAGGAGGAGCCAGCGACCTAAGTGACAGGTGTTACCCGAGTGGTTTCGCCTGGCGGTTTGCTCCCGCGGTCCTATGATCTTAGGCTTTAAGATTAAATATCTGCCACTGGCAGCTCTTGCTGTTTAAGGTCTGCCTCTCCTGCGAGGTAGTTACGATTAACTTAACATTAATAGGAATTAATTCTTTTGATAATTGTCAAAGAAAAAAAATCTCACACTCAGTGGGCAGCCAGTCGTCTGGCCATCTAGCCATGGCGCACCTGACACAAAGCCTCCTTCTAGTCAAGACGTGGAACGCCCACGTGGAAACTGTCCAGTGTGTGACAGACGGTTTCGTCTGGTTGCTGATGGAACTGTCCGCCAACATTCTATCAATTCAGGTCAGTGTCTAGGGTCAAGGCGCCCGCCCCGGGGCAGTGAAAATGGACAACCTGCTGCAGGAACGAGGAACAATACCTCCCTCAACTTTATTTCAGCAGACAATCTGCTTGAAGCGGTCAAAGCGACGTCCACCAGGACCTTGCCCCACATTCCCAAGGCTGCCCGTCACCAAGCAGCAGCCAAACTCACCAGTCTGCTGACAAAGGTCAAGAATGCTCCTAGAACCCTTGGAGCATGGCACAATCTCCTTCTATTTGAGAATGCTTGCCTAGTATTACCGCCGAGGAGAGACAAGACATTAGCAACCTCAGTAATCAAGGCTCTTAAGGAATTCCCCAGAACAGACAACCTGGTCCGCCTCCCCCCTCGTGCCAAGAACACCCTAGGGTCTGGGGTCCGGGATATCTTATCTTGAGATGATTTCGGGGTTTTTTAGTGTCCCCGCGGCCCGGTCCTCGACCAGGCCTCCACCCCCAGGAAGCAACCCGTGACAGCAGACTAACACCCAGGTACCTATTTTACTGCTAGGTAACAGGGGCATAGGGTGAAAGAAACTCTGCCCATTGTTTCTCTCCGGCACCCGGGATCGAACCCGGGACCACAGGATCACAAGTCCAGCGTGCTATCCGCTCGGCCGACCGGCTCCCCGGTTCAATGACCGGTTCAATGGGATGAACATAGGCTGGTCGGGGTCGCCATAATTCAAAAAGGAACAACGTGCCAGGTTCACATTCAGACTCCAACAAAGATTGTTAGTCCTTTCTGCCGGCTATACAGCAAAATATTTTCAGAGTAAACTTTCCAAAACAATTTTTTTCTTGTCGTAATATGCATCATTATTCACTGATCTCGGGAAAATTAACATAAATTTTCTCTTGTCCATAATTTGCCCGTACTAGCTTAAAACAGTCGATTCTCACACAGCTACAAAGGCTTCTGAAGCTCCTCCGCTTTCTCAACGTAAATGAGAAAAATATTATATATATTTAATATTTCACGCTGTTGAGCTCATCCCATTGATGACAACCAAACGCAATTGTAGAAAATTTAATTTTTTATATTTCTAAATTTTTAAATTTTTATATTTCTCTTATCAGGTATGAAAAGTGGTTGTGAAATGGAGAAATGTATTCTCTGAAATTTTCTCAATTAAAAATTGCGTCAAACCAGGTGCTGTTTTCAGTCTTCTATTATTTGCGGTCTATATTGATCCAATGTTTAAGAAGTTAAGGGCTATTTCATTTCTGGGTAAAATATTAGGACGAAGAGAAACATACAGTATGTGAGTTTTGAAGAGGCAGTTGAAATATTGATATTCTTTTGTTTTTATATTTACAAGAGTTCTTACATTCTTGTACAGCCACTAGAACGCATAACGTTTCGTGCAGGACCTTAATCCTAGTTTCCCTTGGAATACAACCTGCCAAATCTTTAACAACCAGATACCCATTCACTGATGGGTGAACAGAGGCTACAGTTAATGATTAGCACCTAATCAATCCTCCCCAGCCAGGATATGAGCCCAGGCCAAATCGCTCGAAAATCGCCGGGCGAGTGTTTGACCATTGAGCCAGGGGATTTTACCACTTCTCTTCCCTATGTGGAAGAGAAGGGCAAATAACACGGAAACGTTTGACGAGATGGAAGTCAGGAGGACAGAGACTAGAGAGCTTTGTTAGTTTACCTCAACTTGCCCTTGTAATTTTGTGCACTCAAATTATATGTAAATAAATTGGTTTATGTCGCCACCTAAGTGTTATGACAGTTTTTGCTAAGTTGACACAGGAAATGAGCCTCTGATGAGACACATGCAACATTTGTTGCCGTGTTGACCAACTATAGGCAGCAAATGGTTCAGTTTTGACCAGCAAGAGACTAAAAATGTTTTGACTTACATTGAGCAGCAGACGGATCAGTGTTTACCAACTTTAGGCAGAGAACAAGGCAATCTTTGACCGACCTGATGCAACAACCGAGGTTATTTTGATCAGCTTGTGACTCAAAAAATGCACAGAAAGAAATGGTTAAAATTAAAATCGAGAAAATCATTGATGCCCACCTTTTGGTCGAAAGGTGCCATCTTATTGCCATCTTTCCATGGATTGTTTTGGGAACTGCCCAGGCCACTCAAGTCCCAGAAGTTGGTGCCCGGGTCCACTGTCAGCTGGAGTTGGCCATCAACGTAGAACCTGAGGTAATTATAATTTTGTTACACCGTAGACGCCAGTGAGAAGATCTTTCCTTAATACATTAATTAGAAGTAAAGACCCAGTGACAGTTGAATGGTATAGAGCGTTGTGCCTATTCAAAGGTGCCTCGCGAGATGAGTCTGGCATAAAAAGATACAAGGCTTCTTGCCTAAGTTGAGCTATTGTTCATATACCCCGCTGATCTTGACTGCATCTTCAAGAGTTATGTTTGTCACGACCAGCAAGAAAGGTGCATTTGAGAGAAGTAGCCAGGTTCCTCATAAAAAACTCCTGCAGTATAGCTCAACATACCTGCATTCATCTTCACTGTAGTTACTGTGCATAGACACGCATATATATATATACCACACAATTGCATACTTAGAGTAAAACAAATCAACTTATTTACAAACACACAAATACACCACTTATGCTTGGCAACACTTCCCGTTTTTCGGAAACTGAGTAATTGAATTAATGATTGTAAACATTGGAACTCACTTCATGTTGTCCTTGGTCCAGTCCAGCCTCCATGTATGGAAGTTGTAGCCAAATGATCCATCATTGGCAGAGCTGAGAACACATGATCCTGGGTGTTAATGCAAGTGAGACATTGATATATAAATGTATATATATATATATATATATATATATATATATGTCGTACCTAGTAGCCAGAACGCACTTCTCAGCCTACTATGCAAGGCCCGATTTGCCTAATAAGTCAAGTTTTCATGAATTAATTGTTTTTCGACTACCTAACCTATCTAACCTAACCTAACCTAACTTTTTCGGCTACCTAACCTAACCTAACCTATAAAGATAGGTTAGGTTAGGTTAGGTAGGGTTGGTTAGGTTCGGTCATATATCTACGTTAATTTTAACTCCAATAAAAAAATTACCCTCATACATAATGAAATGGGTAAATTTATCATTTCATAAGAAAAAAAATTGAGAAAATATATTAATTCAGGAAAACTTGACTTATTAGGCAAATCGGGCCCTGCATAGTAGGCCGAGAAGTGCATTCTGGCTACTAGGTACGACATATATATATATATATATATATATATATATATATATATATATATATATATATATATATATATATATATATATATATATATATATATATATATATATATACATATGTCGTACATAGTAGCCAGAATGCACTTCTTGGCCTACTATGCAAGGCCCGATTTGCCTAATAGGCCGAGTGATTATTTTTATTTTCAATAAATTGTTTCAAATTAGTTTATTTTAATTATTATTTTTATATTATATTATGAACATAAATTATTGACATAGTTGTGTTAGTTTAGGTTAGGTTAGGTTAAGTAGGGTTGGTTCGGTTCGGTCATATATCTACGTAACTTTGAACTCAAATTTAAACAAATTAACTTATACATATTGAAATAGCCAGATTTATCATTTCATAAGATTTTTTTTTAGAAAAATATGTAAATTCAGGAAAACTTGGCTTATTAGGCAAATCGGGCCATGCATAGTAGGCCGAGTACGACGTTCTGGCTACTAGGTACAACATATATATATATATATATATATATATATATATATATATATATATATATATATATATATATATATATATATATATATATATATATATATATATATATATATATATATATATATATATATATATATATATATATATATATATATATATATATATATATATATATATATATATATATATATATATATATATATATATATATATATATATATATATATATATATATATATATATATATATATATATATATATATATTAGTATATTTTGGTAGCAGTCTTTCCTGTAGACATATTATTTAATATGACCGAAAAAGTAAGATTAATAATTCTAACACGAATTTTCTCAATATTTCTTATGTTTCTTTTCACTGTCGATGGTAATTGAAAAATCACTTCTCCAAAATTCATTTTTATTTCTAGTCTGACGTGACACTTGAACGCGTATCGTAATAACATATTACATTTTCAAAGACTTTAGTTTACACACACACAACTATAGCTTGCAAACACTAAACAGATTTCTTACTATGCTATAATTCAAACGGCTTTTCAATTTATATACTTTCATTTGGATGAGGTGATATGTTACAACAGTTTTGGATGAGGTGAAAACAAAATTTCAACACAAGATAGAACACGAAATATTGGGTAAAGTTAAAGGGGAAGAATGGAAGTAAATGCAAAGGGCCTATTGGACCATATTCCTTGATGCTTCTATATTAATGTGGAGTCTTGAAGTAGGTAGAATATAGTTGTGCATTAATTGGATGTTGATTGCTGGTGTTGACTTCTTAATGTGTAGTGCCTCGCATATATCAAGCCGCCTGCTATCGCTGTATCTATCGATGATTTCTATGTTTTTTCTTTAGACTTCTCTGGTGATGGTCTGGTTGTGGGAAGAGATTATATGTTCCTTAATGGACCCCTGTTGCTTATGCATCGTTTATCGACTGGAAAGAGATGTTGTTGTCTTGCCTATATACTGAGTTCATTGAGGCTTACAGTCCCCAAGTGAGCATTTGAAGGCATAGACGACATTGGTCTCTTTTAAAGCGTTCTGCTTTGAGTCTGGAGAGTTTCTCATGAGTAGGTTGGAAGTTTTCTTGGTTTTATAGTAAATCGTCAATTGATCTTCTGATTTTTGTCTGTAAGGATAACGTTTCTATTAACAATATCTTTCAGGACCCTTTCCTCCGTTTTATGAGCTGTGGAAAAGAAGTTCCTGTAAAATAGTCTAATAGGGGGTATAGGTGTTGTGTTAGTTGTCTCTTCAGAGGTTGCATGGTGTTTCACCTTCCTTCTTATGATGTCTTCAACAAAACCATTGGAGAAGCCGTTGTTGACTAGGACCTGCCTTACCCTACAGAGTTCTTCATCGACTTGCTTCCATCCTGAGCTGTGGCTGAGAGCATGGTCGACATAAGCGTTAACAACACTGTTCTTGTACCTGTCTGGGCAGTCACTGTTGGCATTGAGGCACATTCCTATGTTTGTTTTCTTAGTGTAGACTGCAGTGTGGAAACCTCCGCTCCTTTCCATGACTGTTAAATCTAGAAAGGGCAGCTTCCCATCCTTCTCCATCTCGTAAGTGAAACGCAACACAGAATTCTGCTCAAATGCCTCCTTCAGCTCCTGCAGACGTCTGACGTCAGGTACCTGTGTAAAACTGTCGTCAACATTTTTTGGTCGGCCGAGCGGACAGCACGCTGGACTTGTGATCCTGTGGTCCTGGGTTCGATCCCAGGCGCCGGCGAGAAATAATGTTCAGAGTTTCTTTCACCCTAGGCCCCTGTTACCTAGCAGTAAAATAGTTACCTGGGTGTTAGTCAGCTGTCACGGGCTGCTTCCTGGGGATGGAGGCCTGGTCAAGGACCGGGCCGCGGGGACGCTAAAAAAAAGCCCCGAAATCATCTCAAGATAATCTCAAGATAACATACCTGCAGTATATGGCCGGTTTCAAGTTCATGTCGACTAAGACCTTTTGTTCGATGGTACCCATGTAGAAGTTCGCAAACAGGATACCTAGGGGAGAACCCATGGCGACCTCATCTTGTGTCTGTAAAGCAGACACAATGCTTATACATGTGCCCATCCGGGCTCAAGAAGGGTGCCTCTTTAGTACAATCTTGAAGTAGTTTCCTTAGAATGTTTTCTGGTAAGTCAAGAGGAGTACAGGCCGGATCACGATTCACTCTGTCCGCTATCATCCTGATTGTTTCATCCACAGGTACGTTGGTAAACAGTGTTTATTCGTCCAACGAGGCTCTTATCCCTGTGGCCCGTGTTCCCCGCAGTAAATCAACAAATTCCTTTGGAGACTTCAGGCTGAAGGTGCAGAGGACATAAGGAGTCAGCAAGCCGTTTAGTCGCTTCGCCAGTCTGTACGTAGGTGTGGGTATCTGGCTGATGATTGGCCGAAGTGGGTTTCCAGGCTTGTGTGTCTTGACATTTCCATATGCGTATCCAGGTTTGTATTCCTTAATAATCTTTGGCAGGTGGAGTCCGGATTTCTTGGCGTTCACAGTTTCGATCAATTTGTTGACCTTTGCTTTCAATTCGGCTGTAGTGTCCTTCGTTACCCTTTGGAATTTAGTTTCGTCAGAGAGTATGAGGCTCATTTTCGCCAGATATTTGTCTTTTATTTGTCTCTGTGAGGACGTCCTCACAGATCGACATCACCTCAGCACCGAAACCAGGATAATCCAGAAACTAACAACATTATATGGAGGACATATGGCAATTCCACGACCGAGAGACGGCTTCCTGAACCTTGCAGGAATCAACGTCACTGAGGACCAAGTCACTCTCCTAAATCTGGGTATAAACTGTCACGTTATGTCCAGACCAAGTGAGATGGCCCGGAAAGTGGAGTTGGAGATCCTGTTGGACGACATATTCGACCTTGAGACACAAAAGAAGATCACCACCAAGGACACCTTACAAGCAGAACTTATTGCAGAAGGAGGAAAGAATCGAGGCAACTACAAAAGCACCATACTGTCCCCTGAGCTAAAAGCGGCAGCTAAGAGCCTTCGTGACAACAAAACGATAGTCGTCAGGAGAGGTGACAAGTCGTCAATATACGTCATTCTTAAAAAAGACGAATATCTGGAGAAAATGAACCTCATACTCTCTGACCAAACTAAATTCCAAAGGGTAACGAAGAACACTACAGCCGAATTGAAAGCAAAGGTCAACAAATTGAACGAAACTGTGAACGCCAAGAAATCCGGACTCCACCTGCCAAAGATTATTGGGGAATACAAACTTGGATACGCGTATGGAAATGTCAAGACACACAAGCCTGGAAACCCACTTTGGCCAATCATCAGCCAGATACCCACATCCACGTACAGATTGGCGAAGCGACTCAATGGCTTGCTGACTCCTTATGTCCCTTGCTCCTTCAGCCTGAAGTCTCCAAAGGAATTTGTTGACTTACTGCGGGGAACACGGGCCACAAAGATAAGAACCTCGTTGGACGTAGAATCACTGTTTACCAACGTACCTGTGGATGAAAAAATCGGGATGATAGCGGACAGAGTGTATCGTGATCCGGCCTGTACTCCTCTTGACATACCAGAAAACATTCTAAGGAAACTACTCCAAGCTTGTACTAAAGAGGCACCCTTCTTGAGCCCGGATGGGCACATGTATAAGCAAGTAGATGGGGTTGCCATGGGTTCTCCCTTAGGGGTCCTGTTTGCGAACTTCTACATGGGTACCATCGAACAAATGGTCTTAGTCGACATGAACATGAAACCGGCCATATACTGCAGGTATCTTGACGACATTTTTACACAGGTATCTGATGTCAGATATCTGCAGGAGCTGAAGGAGGCATTTGAGCGGAATTCTGTGTTGGGTTTCACTTACGAGATGGAGAAGGATGGGAATCTGCCCTTCCTAGATGTAACACTCATGGAAAGGAGCGGAGGTTTCCACACTGCAGTCTATACTAAGGAAACAAACATAGGAATGTGCCTTAATGCCAACAGTGATTGCCCAGACAGGTACAAGAGGAGTTTTGTTAATGCTTAACCGTGCTCTCAACTAATGACCGTGCTCTCAACCACAGCTCAGGATGGAAGCAAGTCGATGAAGAACTCTGTAGGGAAAGGCAGGTCCAAGTCAACAACGGCTTCTCCAATGGCTTCGTTGAAGACATCATAAGAAGGAAGGTGAAACGCCATGCAACCTCTGAAGAGACAACTAACACAACACCTGTACCCCCTATTAGACTATTTTACAGGAACTTCTTTTCCACAGCTCATGAAACGAAGGAAAGGGTCCTGAAAGATATTGTTAATAGAAACGTTATCCCTACAGACAAAAATCAGAAGATACAATTGACGATTTACTATGAAACCAAGAAAACGGCCAACCTACTCATGAGAAACTCTCCAGACACAAAGGAGAACGCTTTAAAAGAGACCAATGTCGTCTAAGCCTTCAAATGTCCACTTGGGGGACTGAAAACCTCAAAGAACTCAATATATAGGCAAGACAACAACATCTCTTTCCAGGCGATTAACGATGCATAAACAGCAGAACTCCATTAAGGAACATATAATCTCTTCCCAGAACCAGACCATCACCAGAGAAGTCTTAACAAAAAATACGGAAATCATCGATAGATACAGCAATAGCAGGCAGCTTGATATCTGTGAGGCACTACACTATAAGAAGTCAACACCAGCAATCAACAGCCAATTAATGCACAACTATATTCTACCCACTTCAAGACTCCGCACCAATATAGAAGCATCAAGAAATATTTGCCAATAGGCCCTTTGCAGTTACTTCCATTCTTCCCTTTAACTTACAAAATATTATACCCATTGTTTCGTGTTCTGTCTTGTGTTGAAAGTTTGTTTTCACCTCATAAAAAACTGTTGTAACATATCACCTCACCCAAATGCAGGTATAAAATGAAAGCTGTTTAAACTCTGTTTAGTGTTTGCAGGTTATAGTTGTGTGTGTGTAAACTAAATTTTTTGAAAATGTAATAAGTTATTACGAAACGCGTTCAAGTGTCACGTCAGACTAGAAATAAAAATGAATTTTGGAGAATTGATTTTCCAATTACCATCGACAGTGAAAAGATACATAAGAAATATAGAGAAAATTCGTGTTAGAATTATTTATCTTACTTTTTTTAATTATTAATACGTACTTATTTCATATTTAATAAGATATATATATATATATATATATATATATATATATATATATATATAAACAAATCCACAAGGGCCGTGACGAGGATTCGAAGCTGCGTCCGGGAGCATCTCAGACGCTGCCTTAATCGACTGAGCTACGACATGGTTAAAAGAGTTGAAACCGTAGTTCTACTAAACTTACTGGATCTCGCAGCCTCTCCTTACATAAGATATATTATTCCTAGGTTTTTTGTAGACACTAAACTTTAGGGAAAAATCTTTTCTATGAATAAGTACGTCTATAAATGGCAAACATTTATCAATTTCAGTCTCTATAGTAAACATTTACTAGGTTACGCGGGAACCAATTACGGCGTAACATAATAAAAGTAGGATCACTTAATTGTTTCAAGCATTCGTTAGACATATATGTAAATGAATGAGATTAAGGTATAAAAATAGGCTCCGCCTCGTATGGGCCAATAGGTCTTTTCCAGTTACCTTCATTTTTATGTTCCTATGTTCTTATTTCTTATCGTAAAAACCTTTCATTTGTCAGGATTAAACTGCATCTGCTAATCTTTTGACCATATCAAATCCCTATTTAGATTTGGTTACTTACTAAGTTTCTGTTGGGTGAGGCCCTAACTAATTATGGGTTGGGTGAGGCACTTACTAGGTTTCCGTTGGGTGTCGCACCTACTAAGTTTCCGTTGGGTGAGGCACTTACTAAGTTTCCGTTTGGTGAGGCACTTACTAAGTTTTGTGAGTCTTGGTGAACATGTTGGCTTGAGGGTTGGGCCCCCAGTGGAGAGTGGACCCTGCGTGCTGGTGGCCCAGGTTGCCATACTCAGTATTTCCTGCCCCGTTGAAAATATGCTCAGTCTTTGAACAATAACATGTGGTAAGTTATATATCTAGTTGTTTTCCTCGCATAGCAATAACGAACATATTTTAAGAAAAAATAATGATTTATCATTAACTAAATAAAACCACACAGTTACACGTGTGGACTCTAGTGACAGAGGTTAACACTTCGCCAGTGTACAAGTGAGATGACTAATATTAATGTGCTCACACTAAACTTTGGAATTGGGGTAAAGTGCATGTCAGGGTTTTCGGAAGATGATTTTCTGCTACCACCCACACACTAAGCACTCACCACCACCCACACACTCAGTCATCACCTCCACCCACACACTCACTATTCACCTCCATCCACACACTCAGTACTCACCGCTACCCACACACTCACTATTCACCTCCACCCACACACTCAACATTCACCTCCACCCACACACTTAATATTCACCTCCATCCACACACTCAGTACTCACCGCCACCCACACACTCACTATTCACCTCCACCCACACACTCAACATTCACCGCTACCCACACACTCACTATTCACCTCCACCCACACACTCACTATTCACCTCCACCCACACACTCAACATTCACCTCCACCCACACACTTAATATTCACCTCCATCCACACACTCAGTACTCACCGCCACCCACACACTCAGTACTCACCGCCACCCACACACTCAGTACTCACCGCCATCAACACACTCACTACTCACCTCCACCCACACACTCACTATTCACCTCCATCCACACACTCAGTACTCACCGCTACCCACACACTCAGTACTCACCGCCACCCACACACTCAGTACTCACCGCCACCCACACACTCACTACTCACCTCCACCCACACACTCACTACTCACCTCCATCCACACACTCAGTACTCACCTCCACCCACACACTCAGTACTCACCTCCTCCCACACACTCACTACTCACCTCCATCCACACACTCAGTACTCACCGCCACCCACACACTCACTACTCACCTCCACCCACACACTCAGTACTCACCGCCACCCACACACTCACTATTCACCTCCATCCACACACTCAGTACTCACCTCCACCCACACACTCAATATTCACCTCCATCCACATACTCACTATTCACCTTCATCCACACACTCACTATTCACCTCCATCCACACACTCACTATTCACCTCCACCCACACACTCAGTACTCACCTCCTCCCACACACTCACTATTCACCTCCACCCACACCCTCAATATTCACCACCACCCACACACTCAGTACTCACCTCCACCCACACACTCACTATTCACCTCCACCCACACACTCAATATTCACCTCCACCCACACACTTAATATTCACCTCCACCCACACACTCAATATTCACCTCCACCCACACACTCAATATTCACCTCCACCCACACACTCAATATTCACCTCCACCCACACACTCACTACTCATCTCCACCCACACACTCAGTACTCACCGCCACCCACACACTCACTATTCACCTCCACCCACACACTCAGTACTCACCGCCACCCACACACTCACTATTCACCTCCACCCACACACTCAGTACTCACCGCCACCCACACACTCACTATTCACCTCCACCCACACACTCAATATTCACCTCCACCCACACACTCAATATTCACCTCCACCCACACACTCAATATTCACCTCCACCCACACACTCAATATTCACCTCCACCCACACACTCAGTACTCACCGCCACCCACACACTCACTATTCACCTCCACCCACACACTCAATATTCACCTCCACCTACACACTCAATATTCACCTCCACCCACACACTCAATATTCACCTCCACCCACATACTCAATATTCACCTCCACCCACACACTCAATATTCACCTCGACCCACACACTCAATATTCACCTCCACCCACACACTCACTATTCACCTCCACCCACACACTCACTATTCACCTCCACCCACACACTCAATATTCACCGCCATCCACACACTCACTATTCACCTCCACCCACGCACTCACTATTCACCTCCACCCACACACTCAGTACTCACCTCCACCCACACAATCACTATTCACCTCCACCCACACACTCACTATTCACCTCCACCCACACTCTCAATATTCACCTCCACCCACACACTCAATATTCACCGCCATCCACACACTCACTATTCACCTCCACCCACAAAGTCAATATTCACCGCCATCCACACACTCACTATTCACCTCCACCCACACACTCAATATTCACCTCCACCCACACACTCACTATTCACCTCCACCCACACACTTAATATTCACCTCCACCCACACACTCAATATTCACCGCCATCCACACACTCACTATTCACCTCCACCCACACACTCAATATTCACCTCCACCCACACACTCACTATTCACCTCCACCCACACACTCACTATTCACCTCCACCCACACACTCAATATTCACCGCCATCCACACACTCACTATTCACCTCCACCCACACACTCACTATTCACCTCCACCCACACACTCAATATTCACCTCCACCCACACACTCAATATTCACCTCCACCCACACACTCAATATTCACCTCCACCCACACACTCACTATTCACCTCCACCCACACACTCAATATTCACCTCCACCCACACACTCAATATTTACCTCCACCCACACACTCAATATTCACCTCCACCCACACACTCACTATTCACCTCCACCCACACACGCACTATTCACCTCCACCCACACACTCACTATTCACCTCCACCCACACACTCACTATTCACCTCCACCCACACACTCACTATTCACCTCCACCCACACACTCAATATTCACCTCCACCCACACACTCAATATTCACCTCCATCCACACACTCACTATTCACCGCCATCCACACACTCACTATTCACCTCCACCCACACACTCACTATTCACCTCCACCCACACACTCACTATTCACCTCCACCCACACACTCAATATTCACCTCCACCCACACACTCAATATTCACCTCCACCCACACACTCAATATTCACCTCCACCCACACACTCAAGAAGACATGAAAGTTGTAGCATTAAATATTATGATAGATATCGTGAGGAGACATTCACATATGGGACTAATAGAACAAGAACCCGGCAATGTGATGTTATAGTGGCCAGAATACTCCTGGGATATAGACGTATCTGGCAGCTTCCTCAAAACACAAATGTCGAGTACACAATGTGTCAACTTTGTGAAAGAGAAAACATGCACTCCCTTGAACATTATATTGTAGAATGTCCCATATTGACTGACTTTCGACTTCCTGGGCTGAGGTATGCTGAACTCTGTAACTACTACATGAGTGCTGTAACACTTGATGATATATTGGACTTGTACCCTAGATTGACCATGTAATGTATCACTTATACAATGTATGTGATGTAACTATATAACATGAACTTGTAAAAGCACCTTAATTACCTTCAGTGATTAAGTGCTTAATTGCACACTGTTTTCTCTATCAGCTATGTCACCCTGTCAGAGTAAAAGAGACAAATGTGTGTGTGTACATATGTATATGTACGTATATGTGTGTGTATGTATGTGTATAAGGTATATGTGAAAGCTGATCAGAATTACATTTCACTTTTCTTATTGCATATTAATGACTCTATGTAAAAGACACATCAAACACCTTATGTAGGGCATACATAAATCTGTGCATCTATGTATTACGTATGTAGGTTAGCTTAGCATTTTAAAAGCACCGAATCACTTTCTGTGGTTGATTGTTTAATAAATCCCTGAAGTATTAGTTTAACAAATCTCTAACCCTGTCCATGGAGGACAAAAGAAAATGTATATATTCTGGTTAGCATTGTAAATGGGTGGCAACGTCTGTGGTAGAAAATAATAATAATTAAAAAAAACACTCAATACTAACCTCCACCCACACTCTCAGTACTCACATCCACCAACACACTCAGTACTCACAGCTAACTACACACTCAGTACTCACCTCCACCTAGACATTCAGTACTCACCTCCACCCACACACTCAGTATTCAACTCAACCCACACACTCAGTACTCACCTCCACCCACACACTGAGTACTTACCTCCACCCACACACTCTGTCCTCACCACCTCCCACACAATCAGTACTCTCCTTCACCCACACAATCAGTACTCACCTCCACCAACACACTCAGTACTCACCGCCACCCACACAATCAGTACTCACCTCCAACCACACACTCAGTACTCACATCCTCCCACACACTCAGTACTCACCTCCTCCCACACACTCAGTACTCACCGCCACCCACACATTCAGTACTCACCTCCTCCCACACACTCAGTACTCACCGCCACCCACGCACTCAGTACTCACATCCTCCCACACACTCAGTACTCACATCCACCCACACACTTAGTACTTACCTCCACCCCACGCACTCAGTTCTCACGTTCACCCACACACTCAGTACTCACCTTCACCCACACACTCTGTACTCACCTCCACCTACTCACTCAGTACTCACCTCCACCCACACACTCAGTACTCACCTCCTCCCACACACTCAGTACTCACCTCTACTTCACTTTCAGAGTTCTCTTCCACCCACACACTCAGTACTCACCTCCTCCCTCACACTCAGAACTCACTTCCATCCACACACTCAGTACTCCCCTTCACCCACACACTCAGTACTCATCTTCACCCACACCGTCAGTACTCACCTCCTCCCACACACTCAGTACTCCCCTTCACCCACACACTCAGTACTCCCCTTCACCCACACACTCAGTACTCATCTTCACCCACACCCTCAGTACTCACCTCCTCCCACACACTCAGTACTCCCCTCCACCCACACACTCAGTTCTCACCCGCACCCACACCCTCAGTACTCACCTCCACCAGCACCCTCAGTACTTACCTCCACCCACACACTCAGTTCTCACCCACACACTCAGTACTCATCTTCACCCACACACTCAGTGCTCACTTTCACTCACACCCTAAGTACTTACCTCCTCCCACACACTCAGTACTCACCTTCACCCACACACTCAGTACTCACCTTCACCCACACTCTCAGTACTCACCTTCACCAACATACTCAGTACTCACCTTCACCCACACACTCAGTACTCACCTTCACCCACATACTCAGTACTCATCTTCTCCCACACACTCAGTACTCACCTTCCTCCACATACTCAGTTCTCACCTTCTCCCACACACTCAGTACTCACCTTCACCCACATACTCAGTACTCATCTTCTCCCACACACTCAGTACTCACCTTCCTCCACATACTCAGTTCTCACCTTCTCCCACACACTCAGTACTCATCTTCACCCACATACTCAGTATTCACCTTCACCCACATACTCAATACTCAGCTTCACCCACAAACTCAGTACTCACCTCGAGACTCAACAATGTCAATCTCGCCACTTGCAGGCCATCCACCATATTGCGAGTCCTTGGGCAGGAGCCAGATAGCTGCAGGGGAGATGTTCACATGTATATTCATAAAATGTTCACATGTATATTCATAAAATGTTCCTATGTATATTCATAAATGTTCACATGTATATTCATAAATGTTCACATGGATATTCATAAATGTTCACATGTATATTCATAAATGTTCACATGTATATTCATAAATGTTCAAATGTATATTCATAAAATGTTCACATGTATATTCATAAATGTTCACATGTATATTCATAAATGTTCACATGGATATTCATAAATGTTCACATGTATATTCTTTCTTGTTTACATGCATATTCATAAATGTTCACATGTATATTCATAAATGTTCACATGTATATTCATACATGTTCACATGTATATTCATACATGTTCACATGTATATTCATAAACGTTCACATGTTTTCATAAATGTTCACATGTATATTCATACATGTTCACATGTATGTTCATACATGTTCACATGTATATTCAATTATAAAAATTTTGTGTGACTTAAAATAATAACCTGGCAGACCACACCTGTCACTCACCTGGCCACACCTGCCACTCGCCTGGCGACACCTGCCACTCACCTGGACACACCTGCCAGTCTCCTGGCCACACCTGCAACTCAACTGGCCACACCTGCCACTCACCTGGCCACACATGGCCACACCTGCCTACTCCACCCATTCACCTGGTCTCGGAAAGCCTTTGGCACAGTACCCCATAAAAGGTTGATGCATAAGCTGGAGAAACAGACAGGAGTAACTGGTAGGGTCTCCAGTGGATAAGGGAGTACCTAAGCAATAGGAAGCAGAGAGTTATAGTGAGGGGTGAGACCTCAGAATGGCGTGAAGTCACCAGTGGAGTCCCACAGGGCTCTGTGCTTGGACCTATCCTGTTTCTGATATAAGTAAATAATCTCCCAGAGGGTATAGACTCATTCCTCTCAATGTTTGCTGACGACGCCAAAATTATGAGAAGGATTAAGACAGAGGAGGACAGCTTGAGGCTTCAAGAAGACCTGGACAAGCTGCAGGAATGGTCGAACAAATGGATGTTAGAATTTAACCCAAGCAAATTTAATGTAATGAAGATAGGGGTAGGAAGCAGGAGACCAGATACAAGGTATCACTTGGGAGATGAAATACTTCAAGAGTCAGAGAGAGAGAAAGACCTGGGGGTTGATATCACGCCAGACCTGTCCCCTGAAGCTCATATCAAGAGGATAACATCAGCAGCATATGCCAGGTTGGCTAACATAAGAACGGCCTTTAGAAACTTGTGTAAGGAATCTTTTAGAACATTATATACCACATATGTCAGACCAATCCTGGAGTATGCGGCTCCAGCATGGAGTCCATATCTAGTCAAGCATAAGACTAAACTGGAAAAGGTTCAAAGGTTTGCCACCAGACTAGTACCCGAGCTGAGAGGTATGAGCTACGAGGAGAGACTACGGGAATTGAACCTCACTTCGTTGGAAGACAGAAGAGTTAGGGGGGACATGATCACCACATTCAAGATTCTCAAGGGAATCGACAGGGTTGATAAAGACAGGCTATTTAACACAAGGGGCACACGCACAAGGGGACACAGGTGGAAACTGAGTGTCCAAATGAGCCACAGAGATATTAGAAACACCTTTTTTAGTGTCAGAGTGGTTGACAAATGGAATGCATTAGGAAGCAATGTGGTGGAGGCTGACTCCATACACAGTTTCAAGTGTAGATATGATAGAGCCTAATAGGCTCAGGAACCTGTACACCTGTTGATTGACGGTTGAGAGGCGGGACCAAAGAACCAGAGCTCAACCCCCGCAAGCACAACTAGGTGAGTACCTGCCATTCACCTGGCCACACATGGCCATATCCGCCCACTCCTGCAATTCACCTGGTCACACCTGCCACTCACCTGGCCACACATGGTCACACCTGCCACTCACCTGGCCACACCTGCTACTCACCTGGCCACACCTGCCACTCACCTGGCCACACCTGCCACTCACCAGGCCACACCGGCCTCTCACCTGGCCACACCTGCCACTCACCTGGCCACTCACCTGGCCACACCTGCCACTCACCTGGCTACACATGGCCACACCTGCCACTCACCTGGCCACACCTGCCACTCACCTGGCCACACCTGTCACTCACCTGGCCACAACCAGTCTCCTCGGGGCATCTTGGCGCGGACCTCCACCCGACCATACCTGGGGGGGGAAGGTGACATGACCATTATGGCCTCAACATTACATTGCAACATCAGTCTAAATCAACGTAATAACTTGCCATGCAACACAAAAACTTCCCTATAAACTTGCAACAATATTGAAAATTGCTCCAACTTATTTTGCTTCACAATGTATAACTATAATATATAATATTATAATTATAAATGAAATTATAGCTTGGAATTATAATATTAAAATTATAATTGGTAGTATACATTGGAATTATAATAAAACTTATCACTGATTTAATTTTGTTTATAAACGAGAAATCTCGCTTACCAAAATAATTTACAAAAATGTGCAAACATTTAGTGGTCCTGCAATTACCCGTCACCTGGCCTCATCCCTACACCTGGAGGGATGAGGCATAACACGAAACAATGGGTGTAATATTTTGTAAGTTAAAGGGAAGAATGGAAGTAACTGCAAAGGGCCTATTGGCCCATATTTCTTGATGCTTCTATATTGGAGCGGAGTCTTGAAGTGGGTCGAATATAGTTGTGCATTAATTGGCTGTTGATTGCTGGTGTCGACTTCTTAATGTGTAGTGCCTCGCAGATATCTAGCCGCCTGCTATCGCTGTATCTATCGATGATTTCTGTGTTTTTTGTTAAGACTTCTCTGGTGATGGTCTGGTTGTGGGAAGAGATTATATGTTCCTTAATGGACCCCTGTTGCTTATGCATCGTTAATCGCCTGGAAAGAGATGTTGATGTCTTGCCTATATACTGAATTCTTTAAAGCTTACAGTCCCCAAGTGGGCATTTGAAGGCATAGACGACATTGGTCTCTTTTAAAGCGTTCTGCTTTGTGTCTGGAGAGTTTCTCATGAGAAGGTTGGCCGTTTTCTTGGTTTTATAGTTGATCGTCAATTGTATCTTCTGATTTTTGTCTGTAGGGATAACGTTTCTATTAACAATATCTTTCAGGGCCCTTTTATCCGTTTTATGAACTGTGGAAAAGAAGTTCCTGTAAAATAGTCTAATAGGGGGTGCAGGTGTTGTGTTAGTTGTCTCTTCAGAGGTTGCATGGCGTTTCACCTTCCTTCTTATGATGTCTTCAACGAAACCATTGGAGAAGCCGTTGTTGACTAGGACCTGCCTTACCCTACAAAGTTCTTCATCGACTTGCTTCCATCCTGAGCTGTGGCTGAGAGCACGGTCGACATAAGCGTTAACGACACTCCTCTTGTACCTGTCTGGGCAGTCACTGTTGGCATTGAGGCACATTCCTATGTTTGTTTCCTTAGTGTAGACTGCAGTGTGGAAACCTCCGCTTCTTTCCATGACTGTTACATCTAGAAAGTGCAGCTTCCCATCCTTCTCCATCTCGTAATTGAAGCGCAACAGAATTCCGCTCAAATGCCTCCTTCAGCTCCTGCAGATGGATGACATCAGGTACCTGTGTAAAAATGTCGTCGACATACCTGCAGTATATGGTCGGTTTCAAGTTCATGTCGACTAAGACCTTTTGTTCGATGGTACCCATGTAGAAGTTCGCAAACAGGACACCTAGGGGAGAACCCATGGCGACCCCATCTACTTGCTTATACATGTGCCCATCCGGGCTCAAGAATATAATATATATATATATATATATATATATATATATATATATATATATATATATATATATATATATATATATAATAACTGAAAACTCACACCCCAGAAGTGACTCGAACCCATACTCCCAGGAGCAACGCAACTGGTATGTACAAGACGCCTTAATCCACTTGACCATCACGACCGGACATAATGAGGTGATAGCCGAGGCTATTTGAACCACCCCACCGCCGGCACTCGGATAGTAATCTTGGGCATAGCATTTTACCAAATCACCTCATTCTTTGGGGCACACGTGAGGAACACAAATGCGAACAAGCCTGAATGGTCCCCAGGACAAAGTGCAACTGAAAACTCACACCCCAGAAGTGACTCGAACCCATACTCCCAGGAGCAACGCAACTGGTATGTACAAGACGCCTTAATCCACTTGACCATCACGACCGGACATAATGAGGTGATAGCCGAGGCTATTTGAACCACCCCACCGCCGGCACTCGGATAGTAATCTTGGGCATAGCATTTTACCAAATCACCTCATTCTTTGGGGCACACGTGAGGAACACAAATGCGAACAAGCCTGAATGGTCCCCAGGACAAAGTGCAACTGAAAACTCACACCCCAGAAGTGACTCGAACCCATACTCCCAGGAGCAACGCAACTGGTATGTACAAGACGCCTTAATCCACTTGACCATCACGACCGGACATAATGAGGTGATAGCCGAGGCTATTTGAACCACCCCACCGCCGGCACTCGGATAGTAATCTTGGGCATAGCATTTTACCAAATCACCTCATTCTTTGGGGCACACGTGAGGAACACAAATGCGAACAAGCCTGAATGGTCCCCAGGACAAAGTGCAACTGAAAACTCACACCCCAGAAGTGACTCGAACCCATACTCCCAGGAGCAACGCAACTGGTATGTACAAGACGCCTTAATCCACTTGACCATCACGACCGGACATAATGAGGTGATAGCCGAGGCTATTTGAACCACCCCACCGCCGGCACTCGGATAGTAATCTTGGGCATAGCATTTTACCAAATCACCTCATTCTTTGGGGCACACGTGAGGAACACAAATGCGAACAAGCCTGAATGGTCCCCAGGACAAAGTGCAACTGAAAACTCACACCCCAGAAGTGACTCGAACCCATACTCCCAGGAGCAACGCAACTGGTATGTACAAGACGCCTTAATCCACTTGACCATCACGACCGGACATAATGAGGTGATAGCCGAGGCTATTTGAACCACCCCACCGCCGGCACTCGGATAGTAATCTTGGGCATAGCATTTTACCAAATCACCTCATTCTTTGGGGCACACGTGAGGAACACAAATGCGAACAAGCCTGAATGGTCCCCAGGACAAAGTGCAACTGAAAACTCACACCCCAGAAGTGACTCGAACCCATACTCCCAGGAGCAACGCAACTGGTATGTACAAGACGCCTTAATCCACTTGACCATCACGACCGGACATAATGAGGTGATAGCCGAGGCTATTTGAACCACCCCACCGCCGGCACTCGGATAGTAATCTTGGGCATAGCATTTTACCAAATCACCTCATTCTTTGGGGCACACGTGAGGAACACAAATGCGAACAAGCCTGAATGGTCCCCAGGACAAAGTGCAACTGAAAACTCACACCCCAGAAGTGACTCGAACCCATACTCCCAGGAGCAACGCAACTGGTATGTACAAGACGCCTTAATCCACTTGACCATCACGACCGGACATAATGAGGTGATAGCCGAGGCTATTTGAACCACCCCACCGCCGGCACTCGGATAGTAATCTTGGGCATAGCATTTTACCAAATCACCTCATTCTTTGGGGCACACGTGAGGAACACAAATGCGAACAAGCCTGAATGGTCCCCAGGACAAAGTGCAACTGAAAACTCACACCCCAGAAGTGACTCGAACCCATACTCCCAGGAGCAACGCAACTGGTATGTACAAGACGCCTTAATCCACTTGACCATCACGACCGGACATAATGAGGTGATAGCCGAGGCTATTTGAACCACCCCACCGCCGGCACTCGGATAGTAATCTTGGGCATAGCATTTTACCAAATCACCTCATTCTTTGGGGCACACGTGAGGAACACAAATGCGAACAAGCCTGAATGGTCCCCAGGACAAAGTGCAACTGAAAACTCACACCCCAGAAGTGACTCGAACCCATACTCCCAGGAGCAACGCAACTGGTATGTACAAGACGCCTTAATCCACTTGACCATCACGACCGGACATAATGAGGTGATAGCCGAGGCTATTTGAACCACCCCACCGCCGGCACTCGGATAGTAATCTTGGGCATAGCATTTTACCAAATCACCTCATTCTTTGGGGCACACGTGAGGAACACAAATGCGAACAAGCCTGAATGGTCCCCAGGACAAAGTGCAACTGAAAACTCACACCCCAGAAGTGACTCGAACCCATACTCCCAGGAGCAACGCAACTGGTATGTACAAGACGCCTTAATCCACTTGACCATCACGACCGGACATAATGAGGTGATAGCCGAGGCTATTTGAACCACCCCACCGCCGGCACTCGGATAGTAATCTTGGGCATAGCATTTTACCAAATCACCTCATTCTTTGGGGCACACGTGAGGAACACAAATGCGAACAAGCCTGAATGGTCCCCAGGACAAAGTGCAACTGAAAACTCACACCCCAGAAGTGACTCGAACCCATACTCCCAGGAGCAACGCAACTGGTATGTACAAGACGCCTTAATCCACTTGACCATCACGACCGGACATAATGAGGTGATAGCCGAGGCTATTTGAACCACCCCACCGCCGGCACTCGGATAGTAATCTTGGGCATAGCATTTTACCAAATCACCTCATTCTTTGGGGCACACGTGAGGAACACAAATGCGAACAAGCCTGAATGGTCCCCAGGACAAAGTGCAACTGAAAACTCACACCCCAGAAGTGACTCGAACCCATACTCCCAGGAGCAACGCAACTGGTATGTACAAGACGCCTTAATCCACTTGACCATCACGACCGGACATAATGAGGTGATAGCCGAGGCTATTTGAACCACCCCACCGCCGGCACTCGGATAGTAATCTTGGGCATAGCATTTTACCAAATCACCTCATTCTTTGGGGCACACGTGAGGAACACAAATGCGAACAAGCCTGAATGGTCCCCAGGACAAAGTGCAACTGAAAACTCACACCCCAGAAGTGACTCGAACCCATACTCCCAGGAGCAACGCAACTGGTATGTACAAGACGCCTTAATCCACTTGACCATCACGACCGGACATAATGAGGTGATAGCCGAGGCTATTTGAACCACCCCACCGCCGGCACTCGAATAGTAATCTTGGGCATAGCATTTTACCAAATCACCTCATTCTTTGGGGCACA